TTTAAGACCTAGTAGCTAGTAAACAGACATTTTCTTGCAAATTGCCCATTGTAAACGCACCTTGAGTTCCCGCATTTTAATTTCCACTGTGGTAGAAGATATGCTTACGATGTCAGCCATATATTGATCCTCACACTCTTGAAATGCGACGTCGTGACTCACACGAATCCTGCTACTATCACAAGGCAGTTCGCCCGAGAGCTGTGCCTTCAGGAGTGCGTCGTACGTTGCCACAGCATTTTTAATTGGATCAGAACACTTTGTTTCAACAAACTGGTTCCAGGCTCTCTGCACATTGGGAATAGCTCCAGGGGTGCTTAAGGCCTTGACATAGTGATTAACCAAGGCAGCGAGACCTATAATGAGAACTTGTAGAGTTCAAATATCATGTTTACCGCAAATGGTTAAACGCAGAGATGACCACGCAACTGTATTCTTAACCTTTTGCCATCTAATTTCAATTTTCGCCAACTTTGGCGATCATTGCCATATTCACCATTTAAACCAAATTCGCCATTTCCCATTCCATTTGCGCAAACGTTTGGCGAAGTTTCGCCAAATCTCCACTTTAGCCAAGTTCTCTATTTTTGCCATTTTCGTCGAAATCACCATTTTCCAGGAGGCCCCTTTTGCCATCTAATTTAAATTCTGGCCAAGCCGTCAGCAAATCTTTGTTTGCAAAATTCGCCATTTTCCGGTCAAAATCGCCACTTCCCAAGGTGCACCTTTGGTTATCTCATTTGAATTTTAGTCACCCTTTGCCAAATTCGCCAATTTTGCCCAATTCTGCTACTTTCATTAAAATCGCCACTTACATGGGGCCCCCTTTTTCCTTCTCTTTGAATTCGTGACAAACCTTTGGCAAATCTTTGCCATACTCATCATGTTCTCCAAATTCTCTATTATCCTCATAATCGCCACTTGCCCAGGGGCCTCTTTTTCCATCTTAGTAGAATTTTCGCCAACCTTTGACTAAATTCGCTTTTTCTATTCTAATCAGCCTGGTGAAAACGCTAAACACACGAGTTTGTTGGGTATTGTATTGAGATAACGTTTGTGCGTTTTAGCGACCGCGCCTGCGATCTAAAGAGATAGCTCGTTACTAGTTTGATGGACAGCATCGCTTACACTACACGACGCGGTCTCCTGGTTTTAATACACGAGATTTGCACAACACTGAGAAACGAGCAGGACAGACTTCGTCTATGTAAGCAATTTGACTTTATTTGAGCGTGATTAAATGGAAACACCTTGCACTAACGTAAGGTTTTAGTAAAAGCCAATAAAACACAAATTAAATATATTTTGTTTACATGATGCTTCGGCCACAGCAGTTACACCCGTAGCGACTGCTCCAGCAATTGGCGCAAGGGTGGGGGCAACTGCAGATACCACGGCGCCAACTGCGGGAGCGATGTGACCTACAAACTGAAGAGCCGTTTCGAAAGAAACCAGGTTCTTCAACCTTTTCCCGATCTTCGTACGTTTGCCCAATCTTCTCATCTCATTTCCTTGCTGTTGTGGCGCATGCTGTTAATCCTGTAGCACCACAGCCGGTTTTGACCTTTTATTTCTCCATGTTTGCACGAATTGCTCTCATCTCTTTATCATGCTTGTCATTTAACCTCTGAATTTCCGCTTCCCTGTCCACCCAATGTCCATCCCACATTGATGATTGCAGTGCATACTGTTTTCAGATGTGGCATTCTCGAAGTTATTCAGTGTATTAACTAATAAGTGTTCACAAAATATTCTGAAACCAAACACTCTGAATTCTTTTTGGACTAAGGACAGTTCGCGAGTGGTATGAAAAACTACTTAAGTTTAGTTATCAGTTTAGTTATCGGTTCTAAAGTTACTAATGGTTTTAATGAATGAATATCAGCCCAGCCTCTGACCCCTCCCTTTCCATTAGTGGAGCAGGTTATAATGGATCCATTGTTACCAAGTCATCGTGTCTTCCATTTTAAATGAGTCAATTTTATCATACAATTAAAATTAGCTCCATTCATATTTTACCCTCGGCGATTAAGGAGAGAAGACCAGAGAAACGTTAATCAGCTCTAACAATCTAACAATTCTCTGACGGCATCTTCTAGAGAAAGTGTCATTACTCAGGGATGTTCATTGCAGTGATGTGATATAATATTTTTTTTATATTCTATTTTCATTTTTTGTGTTGCAGGAAAACACTTTTATTTTTTACTTTTTCTGATTGGCTGATTAACTAAGCTTTGAGGCCATAAAGGTAATAAAAAGAAAGTTTACGTTAAAAATATCTTACGCCTTCCATCTTGAGTTTGTCTTTAATCAGAATGTTGTCCCTCGGGGCATTGTCTTGCTCAAAGTAAAACTTTTTTGAAAGGGCCTGTCCGCTCAGCAGAGATAATTTCCTAATCTTCTTCCAGCTTACTACGCTTATATAATTAAAATCAGAACCGTTTCTCGAGTTTGTTCATAAATCGTCTCAAACAAGTTTTAAACATAAGACAAATCGAAAGAGAACTGGTTAAAATCTCTGAAAAATAAGATTAGTTTTTGACCCGGCAGTAACAACTCGTTGTCATTTTTTCCCAAACCTAATGGTAAATCATTAATGCAACGGCAACGTTAAAAGGAAGAAAAGTCTCTAAGGTTACTCATGACTTTAATAAATGAATATCTGCCCAGCCTCTAACCCCTCCCCCTCCATTAATGGAGCAAGCCATAATGGATCCATTGTTACCAAGTCATGGTGTATTCCATTTTAAATGAGTCAATTTTATCAAATTAGTGCCATTCATTTTTACCCTCGATGATTAAGGATAGAAAGTAAGACCTGAACGTTTATCAGCTCTGACAGTTCTCTGACGGCAAAAAAACAGACAAGTAAGTCATTATTCGGTGATGTTCATTGGAGTGATATAATGATATTTTTATATTCTATTTTCATTTTTTTTATTGTTCCAGGAAAACCCTTTTATTTTCACTTTTTCCAGTTGGCTGTTTACCTGATAAAAAGAAAGTTTAGGTTAAACATATGTTATGTCTTCGATCATTTTAGTGCTTTTTATTAGAACTTTGTCCCTTACAGCGTTGTTTTGCTTATAATACGTTTCTGAAACAGCCTGTCCCCTAATGTTCTAATCTTCTTCTAGTATAAGCCAAAATTAGATTAAGATTTAAATTAAGCTGATGTTTTTTAGTTTTGTTTCAGTAGCCAGAGAGAGGCAAAGAAAATATTATTTTGTCAGTCAACGTGAATATAGCCCATCAATGTAAATCTAAACACTTTCTTTACAAAACGTTTTAAGTCAGTGATTTGTGCGTTTCCCGTGTCTCAGAATAAAACAAATTCTGTTAATAGCTGCAGAGACTGATACTCGCTGATGAGCTTAATGACGATACAAAATAGTTTATTTACTGATTTGACATGGAGCAGGATGGAGGGATTACCCAACTTTTTACTTAGAATTTGTGAGAGGACCTAGAGAAAGGGTTATTCTCTCGAGATCAGTATCGAGATCAGTGAGTGTTCGTAAAGATATATTTTTAACGAGCAAAAGCTCTCCGCCATAAAGAATTGTTGTAAATCAGAGAACCCTGTGCGATTACGAAGCAGACCTGCGTTATTGAAATTTGTCAATCGATTGCTTCTGAAAAAATAAAACCCCTCCCTTGATATGGACTATTTAGAAGACTATTATGAGTTTCTGTTCCAGCGCAGAATCAGGAGAAAACGAGGTTTGATCAATAATCTTTTCTTGACTGCCAAGATAGCTTAAGACACATGAAAATAAAAGAATTGGTCAAGTTCGCGGTGCACTTACAACAGGCTAAAATTAACGGATAACTCTTACTGAACCTTGTTAACGTTGACGTTCCATTTACTTACGAAAGTGAGAGGGTTGTCCAATACTATCGACTAGATTCCATCGGAAAAAACAAGTGACAGTGGATTCAATCGATTTGACGAATGGATAATTTTATTCACGATCAGAAAAGTAGAGCCGAGTATCGATCCGACAGTTGCATATCATTAGTGGGACTCAAGAAAATTATCCATTCGTCAAATCGGTCGAATCGACAAACCGGTCACGCGTAACCTTCATAAATGAGATACAACTCTCAGATTTCCGAATCGTGAATAAAACTATCCCTTCGTCAAATTGAACTAAAGAACTTTCCCTAGCCTTTTTCCAACGGAATCTAGTCGACAGTATTGGACATAGATGGAAAGTAAACTGTTTCACTAACTTTCGGTGGGAGACTGGGGTGACGGGAGGGGAGGTAGGGAGAGGTTTAAAAATAGAAGGTCTGTACCTTGTCTGTAAAGTCTGCATAGGAGCCAAGTGGCCCATCAGGTCGGCGCTTATCTCCAGTTTCAGTAGCATGAAGCGACTAGGAGTATTTCATCTCCCCCTTGGATGGGATGCTAGTCCATCGCAGGGTTACGCCAAGCATTAAATTCACCGGTACCAGTTTATACACCTAGGTGAAGAGGGGTACTATGAGATTAAAGTGTCTTTCCCAAGAACACACCACAATGACCCCGGCCAGGGTTTGCACCCGGACCGCTCGATCCGGAGGCGAGCGCAATAACCATGAGGCCACAATGCGTGTTTGTAACTCGAGGTATATCTTAGCTTTGTTTCAATTTCATTACTCAGGACTGATTGCTGCATTATGATTTCGACGGCTGCATTGTGTATTTTGCTGCTAGCGTTTTTCGGCGAAAATTGTGAAGGTACATTCTACTATCTTTAATTTTCGATTATTTCTTTTAATCTCAATACCACGAAAGGAGGTTTAGCCTTCTATATCTGAATGTCTCAGTTTTAGGGGAGGGATTATACAGTAAAGATAAAAGTTTTTGGCTTTTTCATACATCTTAAATGATGATAATACATCTTAATATGTTTCATTTTGGATATTTCTTCACAGGGCAAAATGCGGTTCAAATCCATGCCAATGACACAAAGCGAATGATCAGTCACACATTTGACGGTGATTATGATACAGATTTAAAGCTATATCTTTATCTGTATGGACGTCGTCCAGCGTTCGTGAACCTTTTTTTACAACGCGAGGATATTAAGAAAGAAATAGCCTCAATTTCTGTAAAACTATATGAGTATGTAACTGAGAAAAAGGTTAAGGTTCAACCTCCTATGGAGGATATTTTCAATGCCTTCAAAGGGATAACCAAATGGAATATTAGGGTAGTTATCGTAGGTCAAGATCCAACTCCAATACCAGGTGAAGCCACCGGTATAGCGTTTAGTTTAAAACAAAACTCAAATCCAACTTCTGTTTCCACGGGCAACATACTTAAGCTACTGGACAGGCATGGTTATAAGGTTAATATGAAAAGCGGTGACCTAACAAGTTGGGCAAAACAAGGTGTGCTTCTCCTAAACAGCGCACTGACCATTACTGTCAAATTGTCGGATTCGGATTGGCATCAGACGCTTTGGAAAAATTTTACAGAGGAGCTGATTAAACACATCAGCGAAAAAACAGAAAAAAACATTGTATGGATGCTTTGGGGACAAAAAGCAAAAAACTTCCGTCATTTCATCCAAGAAAGGCATTTAGTTTTGGAAGGAGTGCATCCCTCCCCTAACAATGGTGATAAGTTTGCGGAACAAAACGATTTTTTTAAAGAAGCAAATACGTTTTTAGAAAAAAATGGACGAGAAAAAATCAATTGGAATTTAGCATAACATAAACGTCAAGTATAATAAGTATGACCATTGGTCAATCTTAATCAGTTGCCTCAGGAGCTAACTCATATTGAAAGGCAAGTCCGTTTTAAGATCCAAGATTTCACCTCGGATTTATAAGAGTAGCTGTATAGCTAATTACTCCGAGAAAGTAAAAACAATAATAATAATAATAATAATAATAATAATAATAATAATAATAATAATAACAACAATAATAATAATAATAATAATAAATAAATAAATAAATAAAAATAAAATCGTACATTATATACAGTACATTAAACTACTATTTATATAAATAACAATTGCATTGATGTTTGAAAGAAATTTGGCATATTTTAGTTCTGAACTCATTCAAGGACGTTAATGACCTCAGGTCCTCTGTTAGTCTGTTCCACATGTTTGCAGGAGTGTATCTGAAGGAATGAAGACCATAAGTGGTTGTGTTAACGTATGGGATATCCTTTACTCCTCAGGGGCACCCAACGAGGATATAGTTCAAAACCACTAAACATAGCATTGTTGAACGTATTTTAGTATTCAAACGGTAGATATAGGCATATTTTTATCCCCTAAAAACTTTTCATCTGTTCGGATTTCCTAGCTGAAAGCTAGTGTTCCGAAAATTATCGGGATAAAAACTTATACCTTCTCGAAAATTTCAGACAGGAAAAGGCCGTCCCGAAAATTCTAGGTGGCCTTTTTAGGGTCAAAATCCGTTAATAATGGGTAATTATACCATTTTATAGATGTTCGAAAATCCCAGGAGAGGCAGGCAAGCAAGAAATTTTACAACCAATGCTCCGAAAATTCTAGATCTCAAATCGTCTTCCGAACGGATATTTTCCCGAAAATTCCCGTTGGGTGCTCCTGACTCCTTGTAGGTTGCGTTCAGTATTTCTTATTTGAAAAAGACCACGTATGTACTTCGGCATCGTTTCAAACTGGATTGCCTTAAAAACTATTTTGATCATGTCTTGTCACCTCATACTATACAGATCACTAGAATTAAATTTGCTCAGTAGCTCCTGGTAGTGTAAAGACTTCTCGTCCAGAACAATCCTAAGCGCCCTTTTGTTAAGATTCTCTAATTTGTGTCTAGTTCGAGCCTCGCAAAAATGCCAAACTGCTGAACAGTATCTAAAATATGGAACAGTAAAGGCCTTATAAAGTTTACATTTCACATCTGTCGGTACTATTTTTCGAAAGCGGGAAATTACATTAATGTGATTGTTAACCTTTGAACAAATATTTTTTCCAAAGGCTGTTGAACTGCAGATTTTTGTCAATGTTCCCTACTAAGAGGTCAATGTTATCTTTTACCGGAATATTGATGTCATTCACTTTAAAGCTAAAGAAAGAAAGAAAGAAAGAAAAAAGGACAAAACCCGCAGAACGAAAAAACCGACGAAGATTGTCGGAAGTGTATTTGACCTGCATGAGAGAAAAACAAAATGATAATAAGCAGTGAAACAGCAGGACATATGCTAACGACAGGACAAGATAAAAAAACGAGATAAAAATCAAAAAGTTCAATGTATAGATTAAACTGAGTGTATGCAAAATGCTTGTATTCATTTTTCCTTTGTATTCATTTTTCCCTTACTCTCCCATCCTTATACATTATCAAAGTTGAAGGAGATTTATCAGAGATGTTGTATTTTTATTTAACTTAATTAATGGACACTATAATATAGAACTTTTTGATAAGCTTTTATTATGCAAAGACAGAAGGAAAACTGGCTACAATTTAAGAAACAGCGTTTCTCAAGACCTTGCTTACAACTTCTGTAGAAGTGATAGTTTTAAATATACCTTTTTTTAACCAAATTATCAATGAATTAAATAGACTGCCAAGTCAAGTTAGAAATGCTGAAGAAATATCTATTTTTAAAAAACGTTTACAAGTTTTCTTGGAGTAATTTGAGGTTTTTTTGTTATTTTGTTATTTATTTTTTTTGTTAATCTAGAATAAATATATTGTACATATAATAATAATAAGAATAAATATATTGTACATATATAATTAATATGTGGTAATTTCCCAAATGACCAGGTAACTGCATCAATGAATACTCAACTGCTTTCTCTAATGGCCAGCTATCTGCTGCAGTGAATATTGGAGCAGAACACAAATCGTTGCTTATCTGTGAGGGTGATCTGTCTGATTTTGGAAAAAGGTACCCTACAACAGAAGAGGGTCTGTAACAAATGTGTGTCTTTTCTGTGGTTTCAATATTGACTTAACTTCTAAATTACCAACAAGGCCTTAGAGTGGCCAAGCTTCTTTCAAGTATGGTAGAAATTGGCTAATGAGCCACACCCCTTCTCCCCCTATTCCCCTCACCCCTGCATCCGAGGCCCTTGTCCTAACAGCTTATATGGGCCGGAGCAGAAAAACAATAAACTAACAGCGTGCAATGACTTCAATGCTTGCGTGCATGACCACTACTGTATAACGGAACGTTAGATAGCTACTCTAGCCAATAGTTGGGACTCTGAGAAAGGTGCCCTTTCCTAAAATCAGACAGAAAATTAATATGTGGTAATTTCCCAAATGACTTTCTCCACTGGCCAGCTATCTGCTGCAGTAAGTATTCAAGCGGTACACAAATCATTACTTATCCAGTTACAGTGAATAATATGTGGTAATTTCCTAATGACAAGGTAACAAATCTCGGATTACGCCGTTTTACGCTATTTAGAAAAAGACGGACAATTATTTTGCGCGCCCTTCAATAGAGAGGGCCTGGGCTCCACCAGAGTCGACGCAGTAAGAGACAAAACTGCGGAATCCAACTTCGCTTGAATTGGAAATATCATCAGTCGCCTCCATACGAATTTGACAAAAGAAAAGCTTAGGAGAAACATGTCCTCTACGGCGGGGTAAGTTACCATGATAACTGAGTTAGCGGGTGGCTGATCGAATTGGCCCGCGTGTGAGGATAGCCGCCGCCATTTTAGCTGCACGATTCGTGTCTCGTTTTCCTTGATTTGGCGGCGGGGGGGGGAAGAAATTCTGGGTCAAAATAAGCACCTTTGGGTCTTGAGTTTGTCTTGGTGGGTGCGTAGTTGATTTTAGCTAAGATCTCGTCAGTAATCCAAGGTGTGGTGGATAATTTCTTCTCCTTCTTCGGACATTGACAAGTGAATTCAACTCATCAGAAACAACGACAACAACAACAGCTTTATTTCAGTATTCCCACGTGAGTGCATGGTATTACCTACATTATTCGTTACAAATCTGAAATCAAAACAAAGGCTATGATATGAAAGAACAAGTTTTTGTCTATATTCCATACATGACTGCATGTAAGGAGATGAAAGTCTGCAGATATCAGGATCGACATTGTCAAATACGAAGAGGGTTTTTTCATTGTTGTCAAAATTCTTAAAAAGGGGATGTCCAATCCTAATGTCTCGGTAAAAGTTAGATCGAAGACTATGGAAGGGGCAAATGCGAAAATTTTCTAGAGTTTTCGGTACTGGGGGGACTTATGTTGATTATGCTCAAGCAATCATGCACTTTTGTGACAGTCAATTTTGAATACTGAGTAAAATTTTAGTTTCTTGTTACTTCGTATTAGATTATATTGGTGTGAAGTCAGTTCTTCACGTATAGTTAATTGGACATTTTTCATATCTGTTGAGGAGTTGTTATCATTTGAATACAACAACAACAACAACAACAAGTTTAGCCAGTATTACCATTTTGTACAGGTGTTACCGATTAAAATAACAGTAATAAACAGCTAAGTTTAAGGGAATGCAGATATGATGGAACGGTAGAATTAACTATGTTTCTTTCGTCTTTCAAATGCTTGAAAGACCAAATTAGCAGCTAGCCTGCTGATATGTGAATCAGTATTGTTAAAAAGAAAACAGACTTTATCATGGATATTGTAATGTGTAAATAGTGTATTTCGGTCGTTGATTTTAAGAAAAAGAGTCTTTCTCAAATCATGGTATTGATCACAGTGAAATAATATATGTGCAGTTCATTTTCAACCGAATTTTGGTGGCAATGATCACAGATTCTAAGGTCTTCAGGAGTTTTGGGGATTGTAAGTCTTCCGGTTTCTATTTTTAAATTGTGATTTCCTATCCTAAATTTGGAAGCTACACGCCTATGTTCAGGATTCCGGATATGATTGATGAATTCAGAGTGATTTGTTTCACTTTTAAAGACGGAGTAGAATTTTAGTTTTTTATTTGTTCTTATCAAATTTAGCTGGTGGTTTTTCAGATGTTTTGACAAATAATTATTCTCAGCTTTGGATAGGAAAGTAGAAGGGTTTTTATGTCAGGGGGTTGATTTTCAAGCTGAATCCAGATTGTAAATGGTTGCTGTCCTCCAAACGCTTTTTATCGTTTAACATGTGTATTTGAAATGCCGATAATGTATTGGGATCAGGTGCTGAGTGTATCGTTTTAAAATGATCGTAAAGTTTATTGGTCGGGTTTTCGTTATATTATTATAAGACAAGCTGTTTTCGTTCATTGACTTTAGAGTATCCCAAAATTTGCGGTCATTTTCATTACTAATCAACTCATTTATTTTAGAGTCAACAAATTGTTGTTGTTTTTTTTTGTTTGATAAGTTTTTTAAAGGTTCTATTTTGAACATGATATTCTTTTCTGAGTTCGGTATCCAGAGGATTGCGGTTTTTTTTTGGTTAGATAACTTTTTAAGTGAAGATCTTAAAGTTTTGCAATCATAATCAAACCACTTCTTAGTAATTGGCTTTCTTTTAGATTTCTTTTGGCTACTTAATTTGACTGAACGTTTTGCTGCCTCCGTCATAACGTTTGTGAATTGATTGGTAGCATTTTCAACATCTGTACTGCTTAAATCGAAGTTTGTACTTTCGAAGAGATGTAATAGAGACAGAATATCGTTGGAACGAAAGTGCAGCAGTGAATTTTGCTGCAGACGTTTCGTCCCAGACATATTGTTGTGGAAGCTAGGAAGTGAATGATAAAAAGTGTGTTCCCAA